TTTTAAAATATGAAGGATTTGTTTTTTAAAAGACACATTTAATTATTCATGTCAAATGCAACCCGCAGCATTCAGTCAGCAATATCGTTAAATAACTCATAAGCAATGCATTGTAGGGCCTTAAAAACTAAACTTTTCACATTCTATTAATTTTTTAATTCAAATTCTTGGAAATTCTATTACGTTTTTGCTGGTTCGGCACTTATTACCAATACCATCCAGTAGTATTACAAATGCAATCTAGACTTCAACCCTTGGTGACCATCTTTGTGACGTTACGGATAGACGCTCAGATTCCTGTATCTTACACTATTTAAGATTTCTGTGTGTATCGTTTTTGCGCAGACTGACGAGGTTTATTTGCAAAATTATTAATTTAAGATTCCCTCTCGCAGCAACAACTAGAAGTGCTATTAATAGTTGCTTGGTACTATGACGGTCCCTTCGGACTCGTCACAATAACTATTTAAGTGTTAAAAAACAATCTAAAGACTAGACTGACTGGAGAAGACATAGAGGGATGACAGATGCCGAGCCGACCGCATGGTGTAGCATGTGCTGGCCATTTTTGTGCTTTGGTAGAGTGAAGACGTGTCGCCGTGACTGCCATAAAAATGTTTTGATAGAGATTTCGTGTAATCTAGACCGGAAGATGCACATCCGCGCGAAGTGTGTAAACATTAATAAGTTAGGATCTGTCGTGATTGTAGATGCGAATTTTGAGGTGTAAACGTAGACAGCTAATGGAAGTAGGACGCAGACGGTAAACAAAAACGTATGCATACGATTTCAACGTGGAATCCCAGAAATGATGGAGGGACAACGCTACGGACGGAGTGATTCTTCTCAGTGCCAAGATTGCAGTGCTTCCTCACCATCAGAAAAGTTAGAAATTAGAGTAAAAAAAGAGACCATACAGAAGTAAATTGTTCAAGGCCAAGAATGTTTAGTTAATAAGTAAAATTAAGAAAAAGCAAGATTATAAAAAAAAGCCGTACGTAGTTTCGATGGCCGGTAATTTCTCCTCCCATCACCAAAATATAACGTAAACATTCTTTCCCTATCTTGTACACTTCAGCCCCACGATGCTAATATAAATATTCCAGTACCAATGCCACACGTCCTGGAAAGATTAGATTAAAATTTAAACAAGTATTTCGAATATCTGGTAATATATGTAAAAAATATTATAATACTGATAGAGGTACGACGGAACTGTCATAGTACCGATAAAGATAGTTTCTTATGCATCTAGTGAAAACATTCAATCAATGTTTTGCCGAAGCTACATGTGATGTACCTAATTGTGGAGGGATGAGAGTGTGCATTGAAGACTGAAGACATGTCTTGTTAGTTTTGTTTTGTATTTTACCTGTACCAGTATTTTCGTTATCAGCAGTGAAATGGTGAAACTTAAAAGTGAGCGAGTTTCTTAGAATGGAAATACAAGAATAAGGAAGAATATGGGACTGAACTTGCCAGAGTTGTCGCACGGGTATGCGAAGGTAGTAGGGGAAGACTTGTACTATGGAACAACACAAAGAACAAACTTTTTAAACTAATTAAAGTAAAATAGCTTGAAATAAATTAACAACAAAAATCAAAACGCGCTAGCTTACAATACTACGTGAATTAATTTAAAAAAGCAACCAAATTTAAAGTTATAGAAATAATAACTTCAGTCATTCAACTGCCAACGATCACAATCCCGACGCACAATTTAAATGTTGGCGGTATCTGGAAGTCTGCACATCAATGCCCAGCTGTAAACACATATTTTAAATAATACACCGTTTGATATTACTTAACTTAAGGTGTCGGTTTGATATTAAACTTAAGATATTCAATATATAGTTTGAGCAACATCCTCCTGTACCAAAGTGAAGTCTAAGTGTACAGATTTGTTTCCAACGGTAACAAATGGTATTTATTAATCAAAGGTGAAAATATTAGATTTATTACTTTTTGGCTCCAAATTTCTTTTCTTGAGGTACGTAAGAGCGCAGAAAATAATTCAATATTTTTTAGTATACAAAAAATTTTTCAATTTTCGCCCGCCACAAGCTACAGCCCTGCCTCTCCCAAACCCCCTTTACTCATAAATCCAGGGAAGTTAATAATATTACAAAGAGTAGGGTTGTACTTGCCCGATCCTGTATTTTCGCATGAAAAACTTTACTTGGCTTTCTCAACTGTAAAATATATTTTCTAATATTGTTGTGACGATCGAGGAAAGTGAAAAGCTGTCAAAGATCTTCAAATGTTTTAAGGAAGTGAGAATTGTTCGAAGTACGTATCTCTATAATACTGAATAAGCCTTTATTGAAAACTTGTTTTCGACGTCAATTGTATTGTTTTTATTTTTGTTTGATATTGTGTAAGTACTGTGACGTATCTGGGAAGCGGTACTTTAACGACAATAAAATTATGCAAGGGACAGGTTCCTTTTTGTGGATGGGTCTCTAGGAATTTAGCGCAACATGGGAATAGAATTGTTATAAACTCCTTTATACATCTAAACGTTTTAATAACCAAAGAACACACTTCACAAATAATATTTACAAACAGTAATGCTTAGGTCTTGAAAACAAGCGCGCCGATCCAACTCCAATGCAACATACTACCTGAATTGAAAACAAAAAAACCATCTGCTCACTCTCAGGTGCGTCCGGGGCCGTCGTTTGCAACGGCGGGCGGTGGCTTCGGCAAGCTTCGGTTCGCCCGAAAGCCGTCGGGGATTTGCCCTTCCCTCGGCGACCAGCTCCTCCGGCCCCACGTACGGCTGATATTTCGCCGGGGGTCCGCTCCAGCCGGTGTGAACAATGGTCTCACAAATACGGGGAACAAACGACGCGAGCATTAAAATGTTCGTACGGCTATTCTAATCCTTTCAGTGACCTTTCTCGCTTTCACACAACTGTCTGTTCGGCACTGTCCACATTATGTAGTTCCAATGCGGGATCACGGGCACTAGCCCCCGGCCACGCGATGTACTCATCTATTGGTCTTTCTCAATTATGGCGCGCAATTTCACTTCCCTAATCATTTACTATCAATCCTTGCGGAACTTGATTCTATACTCGGCAGGCCGCACTTATTCCAAACTGTATTGAATACTTGCGATAAATCTCTTGGGGCCGCATCACAGCCCCGTCCGTACTTCACTGAATGCCTCTCGGGACCTTAACTAACCGTTCGCTCGCCTCGCGGTTCCCGATCTTGACCGTTGGTGGCGGCGGCGGCGGGCGGCGTTACTGCCGCTGATCAACTCAAATGTTTGCTTTTAATTAGAATTGTGATTTTTTTAATAGTTCTTATTATAGAAACGTTCTTCGTTTCAGTACGAAGTATTTTTATTACGTTTTAATAAATAACAAGTTTCATTACTTATTTCCTCCATTAAGGAAATGAGAGGGAAAAAAGATTGGATTAACATGCGAGTTTTCAACACGCGTACGCTGTTGTCCATATTAGGGGCGAGACTGTGGTCATGACGACTGCTCTTATGCCTAAGCCACCTTTCAACCATTTGGTGGAGAAAGAAGGAATCATTCCTGGTAACCGGAACCATCTATTTTTGAATTTTGGCTCAGAGGCGTCTTTAGGCTAGGGGTATTTTCATACGCAGTAAACGCTACAATTAGGACAGGCCGTGCTTACCTTCCCTTCCAAAAAAAGGAAGGTTGTTACGAATAATATTCTCACTTCAAAAGTTCCACGGCTTCCATCGGATTTGAATCCCGAAACTTGAGAACCACAGGACCGATACGCTAACAGAAAACCTCCGAAACCCATCAACACTACCGAAGGCAGCGATACCTCGGACGCTTGCCAAATAAATAATGAACGATCTTAGATGCGATGTTAGTCTCGTGATGTCTTAGACTGAAACTTAAGAGGCTGGCACAAATTTTAAAAAAACGCAAATGCGTTAATATGGAAAATCTTCCACCGCGCAAATCGAGGTTAAAACCAGTTTAAGGTTCTGTCATTTAAGTGACAAAAGTACAGTTTGCGTGACGTATCAAAAGCAAGAGTGACCGTGTTTACACGGTCTACACTTTTCTTGTGCGATTCTGGCACTATTACGCCGCCAGGAGTCTTCACAAATGAATTCTGAGTTGCACCATATGAGTAAGTGCATTTCTCTACATATGCGTGAGTTCTGAGGTACTTTCTTACATTTTTTTTGATTTGAAGAAATATGGTTAGAAAAAATATCAAGGCCCCTATCACCAACAATTGCTGCAGTATAGTTGTGGTGTGCGACAACGCATAAGACGTGTGAGCAGACAAACAACGCTCGAAATGGAAGTCTTGGGTCTGCATAAGTGAGATTCAGTTACCTCACATTTGCAAATAAACTCCCCAGAAAAGACCGAAAACCGAGATCCCTTACTCCAATAACAAAAAAATTACTCATCGGTATTTAACCTTACCACAAAGTTGGAAAATTTTTAATTTTAATTTCAGTATTCCTCACTATTATATTTTTTTTTTAACAATTTGGATGTTTTCAGTTCACATGGCCGAAGTTCTTTTTATGAAATATGTACCGTACTATTCTATATTGCCTTTGTGTGCTGGAGGATTTACGCAGTAAGGTTACCTTAGTGACCAAGTATGTTCGCTAGATGCCCTAGAGTAAACTGTACTGTAATCACACCCCTCGGTGAACCGTAACAACACGTAGAGGGAGGACTCCCCTAGAGGGAGGAATGCGTAACTATAATACTTACCACTACATTTAAAACACATGGTTTCATTTCTTTAAAGTGATTTTAATTATCCTTTTTTATGATAGAGGTGAAGGCCTCATGCTAAAATTTAATCCTAAGAACTGTTTTAAATTTAATCTTAGCTTAAATGTCCGCACAGGCCGCTTGACACTCTATCGGCCGCCGGGCAGTGTCCTTTCGGCCGGTCATGACGTCGGGAGCGGGCGGCCGCGCCCACGGCGTTCTGGCGTGGTGGGTCCGGCCTGCTGCGCCTCACCTCACCCTTTTCTCCTCAGCACAAAGGACGCCCGACCAAGAGTTGAGGCGTCCTTCTTCGATGTTCACAACCCCCATTTCGTGAGCGGCGGTCGTCGGCAGGGTCCGTCTAGTCTCCCCTCTTTGTTCGCACAACAAGGCCGGTCAAGGAGATGGCTGCGGCGTTGTAGCGTGTGACTGCGTCAACAGCGCTGGTCCGGTTCTTTGGTGGTACGATTCGCGGCTGCGTTAATCGTACCTCGGCGCCGTCCTCACTCTAGGTTCGCGTCGGCACTTATCCTCATGCGCCCACTCGATTTTTCCCGATGCAGCATCCCCAAGAGTCCGGCATGAGATGTGGCGAGTGAAGCAAGGCTTTCGCGGGGCGACGGCGCGGGCGACAGTACATCCGCAGGCCTTCTCCCAGGAGTTGAAGCACCTCAACACACTCGCCCCCTCACCTTGCGGAAGGCCCACCTACTCCTTGTGTGTCCCTGGATTGGAATCGATTTGGTAGAACTAACGTCTTCAGATCAACCTCGTAGACCCGCGGATAGCGTGACCCTCCCCCGCTTGCCTTTTTTCTGCGCTTTGCGGGCGCGCGTCACGCGTCACGCCGTTTATCTTCCGCCCTATCCGCCGGCGTCGTTGATGGACGCCCGCCGTCTTGCCAAAATTCTGCGAAACGTGATCGTCATTTAAGTTCCGAGAAAAGGGCGCAACGCAATGCGTTGTCTCGAAGAGTAACGGCGCTCGTATGTTCCCATGAGTCGCCGGCATGGCGGCCTGGCGTGGTTGGGCTGGGACAAAAGGGCTGGATTCTTCAGCGTCCCACGCCCGAAAACCGCATGCGCAGGTAGAGAAAAACAACACGTAATACTGCATGTCATCCACAGCAGCCGTTTATACTCAATATAATTTATTAAAACGTGTTCGCAGCCGTCCCATTACAGAACGTTTTCTCTGTGAACAATGTTCGAACATGCTCGAATCGATTTCTAAGAACAAAATGTGTAGAGTGAACTGTACGCTTTAAAGCATGTCGAATCAGCACGAAAATGTGTATCGTGTAAAAGGGGCCAGGGTTCTCAAAATATTCAAACCAGTTACATTACAAGTTGACTAGAAAACGTGAAGATACGGAGAACAATTGATATCTCAGACTAGGGAAAATAAAAAAATGCACGAGCGTAGATTTGACTACTTCAAGAAAGGCTTATAATTGTGAATATAATGTCAATGGGCAATATGCGAAAGCATAAATGTGTAACAGCTTTCGTTGGGAAAGCAACAGATGGTAGTTTCTTTTGTAGTCCATAATTAATAATTCAGAATCAAAGGAACGCATTATTTATTCACATTTACTACTTTACTTACTTTAACTCTTCTTAACTCAACACCCCATTCTGATTTACTCTCCTACTAATGCTATTTTACACTCCACTATGGACAAACTCTCGTGTCATACAGTACCCCCCTCATACATTACAAATATTATTACAATACCTGTTACAATATTATAGCAAGTATGGCTTTAATATTATATATTAGGAACTTTTACATCGATTTGTGTTAAAATTTATTTCAAATTTACAATCTTTCTCCAGTTCCACTGATTAATTTTTCTACCAGAAAAACACAGAAATTAGCAGACAATAGTCCAAGATTTTCCTTATTATTACGCAATGTACAATATAATTTCGTATATTTCATATTTTGTATATATATTTAGCAAAAGGTATTGTCTGTAATCAATGCTTTATGGGCAGGTATTGACCTTCTCGCTGTGCACTAGGAACAACTGTCCTCTTCACTCGTAGGGTTGGCGCTCGGGCGCCATTGCGTTGAGAACTAAGCGAAAAGTGTTGGCTCGTGCTCACCAGAGGCGTCCTGGTCGGGGTCTCCCCTGCACAACGTTGCGCTTCCTGCCTGCGTCACCCGCTTCTGCTGATTTCTTCTCTCTCTTGCCTCGGCGCAGCCTCCTCTGGATAAGCCCAAGTAGCCCCTTCACAAGCGGCCGAACAAGTGACGACCGCCGCTCGGAAGAAGTCCGTAACAAAACCCGCCTCCCCGGATAAGGCAAGTTCCCTATCCATACGATAATTGTGTATAGTGGATTCCGGTCCAAAAAGGCAACATGGCATGGCCATGTTGTGTAGTGAACCACATTATAAACCTCAGTGAGAAGTCATTTACCTCCGGAAATATGTACCATATTTTTAAATATAGTTAATTCTGTAACAAAAGAATGAGATACTATTTGTAATTTCCTAAAATTAGCCATTGTTTTAAGAGAATGTGATCAAATAATACTTTACCTTTTCGCGTCGACTGTAGTGCCGCTTCTGTTTTCTGCCCCCTCGTGTCTGCCAGTGATTGTTTCAGTGCGGTGCCATAGGGGGGGGGTGATTCCCTCTGTGTGTCTTTCACCCACGGAAATCTGGTCCTTCTCTAGGCGAAGTACACATTTGCCTCGCTTGAGATACTGCACCTATCTCAAAGTCAGCCAGAGGTCTACAATGTTGCACTCCACTAGACAGCACGTAAGGCAATAATAGCACAGGGCGGTTCCATATTCCATAAAAAGAACTTCTTCGCCATAAACTGAAACATAAGAATTGTATTAAAAGTGTAATATGTTAGGATTTCTTGAAATTCAGAATACGAGTTCAATAAATAAAATTAATTCAAATATTTTTCTGTAAAATAATATAAAATTTATGAACGTCTTTCAATGTTTATTAAGCATCGCAGTATCTAATTGTTGCATGTTAATAAAGTTATCTGTTGTTAGAAATCCATCAAATGTTCTCACATTTTAAATTAATTTTATCCTAATCTCAATTGTGTGTGTTTGCGTGTCCAGAGAATGCAAAATATCTTTTAGCTGATATTTGTATCGAGGGAGCAAAATATATTATTCTGCTTAGTGGGATGGATAATAAAAAAGTGGACTGTATGGAAAGGCAATTTCGCGCATACAATTTAGTGCACGGTATAGAATCCTTCGTTCAACATTCACACATTTTAAGTGATTAAGCTGAAACAAAATGTATTTACAATTGTTGCATTACTGCACCCTCAAGAGAACACACATGACGCTTTACTGGTATGGTCTTCTGGTAAAGTTTTGAACTGAAAGGCTCGTAGACCGCGCGGAACGTGAGTGGACCCAGAAAGGCGAAACAGGAAGTATTTCTCTGATCAGCTCAGTAGAACTAGTTAGCGTATGCAACTTTAGATAGGAGCAAATTAGATTGAACCTGAACACTGAGATGACAATGTCGCTCTTGGCTAAAAAATGTAAAACACAATTCATAGTTTCTACTCATAACACTAGGTTCGAAAAAAATACAGCGAACAGCATGCCTTTCGGTGTTACCGACAATAGCTCATGTTCTTCCGAGTACTCACGTGACTGCCGGACAGTCGCGATATCCTTCTGTGGTTGTGCATCATTTTGCTGGAAGGACATCTGGAGAACTGATTAAGCTACCAAATGCACTGAATAGTGATTGTTTTAAATTAAGCATCATTCAATAATATTTACGCACACCAGTGAATCTCTTGCCACTAAGGTCTTGAGGGCTTTGCTACATTGCAAACAAGAACTTCAAAATTGCCTAAGAATTGGTGGACAATTATTTAATATTTGTGAACTTTTTTATTAGGTAATGCTCAGTACTTTACTACTCACATGAATGCCTTTAATTGTTGCCCTCATTTAAATTTAATCCCATAATCAGGACATTCAGATCGACCGTTACTTGTATTCAGATACATATAAAACACGAATTCATTATTTGCGACTGGGGAAATTAATTGGACGTTATTGCTCGTTGTTCTGTTCATACACTCAGCTAAATCTATTTACCTGAAGGTCCATAAAGTGGTTCAATGTAACACACTTGTGTCTCCATAAGCGATAGGCTGTACCATGCTGGTGTCATTTCCCCCTCCGGTTGAATGAACAAGATGGAACACGTTGTTGTGAGCACTGCGTACAGTCCCAAGGCGAAGGCTGAAATCACCAGAACTTCCTGCTTCCTTATTGAAGCGTGTCTCGTGCATTCTGCAGAAGAAAGAGGAGTGATAGTTACATGCAACATCAGTTTCTTTCGCTTGCGATGCGGTGTACCAAGTTATGTTATCCTTCCTTTCCACATCTACGCGAGCGATTGGAAAGGATCATAAAATTGTCGGCTATAGTGCAAACTTACATGCGAATGCCAAAAGGCTGACTAATCTTCTTTATTCAAGCTTATCAAAAGTTATTTTCAGAAGAAATCATACTAGAGGTGAAACAACTGCGTGTATGTTTTCACATAAGTATCGGTTGCATAGTCTAATTATGTGTTTTGTAAAACTTGAAGCAGACGTATTTTTTAAAGCTAATGCACCTACACAAAGTCGACCATCAAAAATTGCGTTATCTCCTCCAGAAACCAGTCCAATAATGAAACGTAATACTGTTAATTTCAAAATGCCGTATTGTCATCGTTGTATTGTTACCGCTACCATGCTTACACAATGTAAAACTCGCGTAAAAGCCCAACTTCTCTCCGAAAAGCGCTGTACCGTTGATCAAGTACCTACAACAACCGATAGAGGGATCCGCTGCAGACGTCAACGCTGTGAGCTATTCGCTTCGCTGCGCAATCTAATCAGGAATTTCTTCTCGGAAAAATTAGAAATTAACGAGAATAAATGAGAGTATTCCACCATTTCTGTGTGAGACGTGCATGACGTATGTGGTCTTGGAGAATCAACATCAATGGCTGAGGACGTACGAACACTCCATAGAAAATCTTAAAAGAGCTAACGATCTTATTATGTACTAAATTAAAATGCTTCGTTCAAATGCAATATAAAATATCTTACAAACGCGAATTTAAGAAAAAACAAGAAATCACTCGCATTTGCGTGATGAAGTTCAGGGCATTCAAGTGTGCACTTAATACGTTAATTAAATAGCAATATATTAAATAATAATTGCCCTTTCAGCTTTTTTTATTATGTACATACTTCTTTTCTACATTTCTTCAAATTTGATACCTAGATGTTACTGCATATGTTCCAACCCGGCACAACGTCTGGTG